CTCTTTGTTTGGCTAACTTATACATATATCTTTCTCCCTCCTTAGTATTTAATCTATTATATAAATCACTAAAAGCTAATGTCTTTGTATCGCATATTACTTTCTTAGAATTCTTACGAGCCACTTTATATATTTCCCAATTATCAGAATTTTTAAAATTAAACCAATTTTTATAACAAATCTTCTTATTTATTTTGCATACCTAAAAAAAAATTAGGTTAGCTAAATAATTTCTTTTGGATTGGTTATTTCATATCAAATGTGCATTATTTCAATTTTCCAAAAAATATTAGAGCTCCTATTCCATTTTTCTAAAGTTTAGTAGAGTATAATCTTGATTTGAGCAAGAACCTACAAACTCACCCAAGTACACTTCTAATTAAAAGAAATTAGACCACTGAGTAAGAACCATATAGTCTCATGATCATAATCTTAAGCATCATAAAGCTTAAATGATTCAATTATCGTGGAGATGCAACAACCCTTTTTTTAAGCACTTGTAATATCACAATTTTTGGCATTCGTATACAACATTTTTTCCTTTTCCATAAACTAAATTTACCTTTCATTTCATATAGGCAAAAAAAAATTTTGCCTACTACTCAATATAAAGGTGAACAACTAATAGCATCAGTGAAACATAATAAAAAACACATCCCAACTTCACCAAAAGAGAAAGGAACCTTTCTAGTGTAGCGGAAAATTTGAGCCATTGTGCAAGATCTGATGCAATCTTAGTCAATCAAGAGAAGCTGGCGATCTCTTTGTAGCCGTCAATTCAAAATCTGTCAAAGGAAAAAATGGAAAAATAGTTAAGCCCATTTACACCACATCTTGTTAAAATATCACCATAGGAACATAAAGATAAGTGTAAATCATTAAAAGGAAAGGGGATTAACCCAAGTGTTGTTTGGTTGCCACTACTTATAATGCATTTATTTTAAAAATATGAAGTAACTGCAATGCATTCTTCTTACTTGAAGATATGCAGTCATGGGTGTAATATAAATGTAATTAAATTAGTTTTTTTTTTTTTTTATCATGCTGAATCTAACGTTTGGAGGCTGGTATTTCAAACGAAACAAGAAGAATGGATGATAAACCTAAGTACACAATCTGTCAATCTATTTTGCTAAATTAATCACAAGATATGCTTATCAACAGCACACCCACATAAAATTGCAACAAAAAATAGAATAAGGCTTCCATATGGGCCAATAGTAATGGAGTGCTCTCCCTAATGGGAGGTCATATTTGGAAGTTTAGAATCGGTGGCTGTATCTGGTTTGATAGTTAAGAATTGGTGGCTGTATGTGGTCAAAGGGCTATGTTGCAACGAAATTCAAAATATCATAAAGCAAAAGGTAGCATTTTTTAGATTTCCTCTTCTACTTTAAGGGGCTGTTTGGATGCAGGATTTAGGCCGGACTTGAAGCGGATTTGAGCTAAATCCAGCAAACGGCCAAAAAAGCAAAACCAAATATCACGGTAAATCAAAGCCGCGGTTGACGGAAAATTCCCTCTTTTTCATTGGATAATCCCGGATTTACGAAATCCTTTGGTTTGGCGGATTTACGGGATTTGGCCAAAGAAGCGCGCGAAAGGGATAAAGTCAGCTTCACAGCAAATGAGCTCTCGTTGCTGCTTCCGATCAAAAAATGTCGTAACTTCCGCTCCAACAGGAAGGGAAGCACGTGGAAGGAGCGAAGTCGAACAGCGACGAAGAAGAACTCGTGCAAAACTCTACACTTCTGCGAAGGAACGAAGCCGAAAGAAATAGAGAAGGTAAAGGCAAAACCTAGACTCCTCTGTTTGGTATGCGGATTTAGGCGGATTTAAGGCCGGATTTGGGCGAAATCCAGCCAAACGGCCTAAAATGCAAATCCAAATCTCACGGCAAACGAAATCCTCCGTTGACGAAAAATTCCGCCGATTCGCTCTAAATCCCGGATTTCCGAAATCCTTTGGTTCGGCGGATTTAGGGGATTTGGCCGAAGAAGCGCGCGAAAGGGAGAAAGTTACTTCACAGCAAGCGAGCTCCCGTTGTTGAATCCGATCAAAATGTCGTAACTTCCGATCCGATAGGAAGGGAAAGTCGACGAAGGAGCGAAGTCGAACAGCCACGAAGGACGAAGGAGCCGAAGAAGCGACGCGTGAAATCTTTACACCTCCTGCGAAGCAACGAAGCCGAAGAGAAGATGAAAGGCAAACCCGATACGCCTCTGAAGTTATTACTGATTAACTTAATTAATATAAGTTAAAATAATAATAATTGAGTACATTAATAGTATAATTAGTTCATAAAATATTTATCTAATTTAAATTAATTTAAAAATTAATGATATATTAATAATTAAATATAATATCATTAGCTTAATTAATATAACTTAAAAAATATATTACTAAATATATAATAGGGTAATTAATAGTGTAATAAAAATTAATAAGTAATTTGAACTTAATAATCTTGATAATCATACAATTTAAATCTTTAACTGTTTTAAATCCTGTAATATGTTGTAAAACATCTTCTCTCGATTTAACAGGATTTAAAATACTTAGTTATTTCAAAATAATTAATAGGATTAAAATATGATCTTAAATAAAAAAATTATTATAAAATATTATAAATAATAATTAAATAATTAATTAGTATTAATAAAATTTTGTTATATTTTATTTAAACTTTTTTTGTCGTGCTTTAATTATCTTAATAAAGTATATCAATTTTTTAACTGCCTTAAATCCTAAAATGAATAGCCAAACAGTCACAAAGGATTTAACTGGATTTATCATTAGTGTGGGATAACATAATTAAAACCTGTCAAACATCTAAAAATGACAACTTAAATTCCTGCATAATCTCAAATCCCGTTTCTCCTCTGTTCAATCGGCATCAGGATTTAGGCAGGATTTAGCATTAATCCTGCCAAACAGAATTTCGACTCGGCATAAATATCACGGCGGAATAAACCTGTCGTTGGCACGAATGAGACAAAATGGTTACCTTCGCAACGAGCGAGCTCCCTCCCGTCCTCGTCGTTACTTCCGATCCAACAAAAGAACGTCCGATCCTGGCATTGGGCGGATTTAAATCCGTAATCTCACGAACTCCGCGCCGCTGGTCCCGTCGATGCCTTCTCCAGCCAGCTCGCGTCGCGACTTCCTCGCTCGTTGTCGCCGCGCTTTCCGTAATTTTGGGGAGGAGTAGTCGGGCAGAAAAACCAGGGTTTCGGATTTTAAAATTATTAATATTAATAAGATTAAGTAATTAAATTAATTATTATTATTATTTTACTTAACTAAAATATTAATTTAAATAAATTAATTATACTTATGATTTAATTTATTTAATAATTTTTCTTAAATAATTCTTATTATATACTTTTTATAAGTTACAATTTAATTATTAATTAAGATATTAATTTTTACTCAATATAATTTAATTAGCATCCTTATAATTAATATAAATATTATTAATCAAAATCATTAATTTCCAATCATATATATATAATAAAACTAATCTTAAAAAATATTATTAATTAATTAATTTTTTATTAATTTAAGTAACTTGATTTACTTTAATTTTTTATTTAATTTAACAAACTAAATTTTATTGCTTGATTAGCTTAATAAATTTTAATTAATGATTAATTGAGAAGATAAATATAATACCATATCACATGAAATTTTTTCTTTATATGCCATAATAATTTAAATTGGATAAATAAGTTCATTATTTATTTTTATAAGAAATATACTCAAAAATTAACGGTTAACAAATAGAGTTGAAATTATTGTTGAACATTACATTTCAACAACCATTAGTAAGAGCTCCTTAACCTTTTCCTCTTTTTATCTCATCCTTTATTTCGGGTTATTGCAAAATGTCCATCTTTGATGTGTGGCAAAGTTCACAATAGCCTCTCTCTACTCATAATCTTCGAAGGTTAGTAATATTTTTAAATTTAAAATAGTCTTCGCATTCTAAACCATAAACCCCATTGTCGCTTGACTTCAATTACATATTAGTTATCATGTTTGAGCCATCTTCCAACCACCATTATCTTTAAAATGATAATTAAATCATATTTGAGCAACATCAAAAAAAATTCATAACATTATCAAATTTTATTTGAACGTTATTTGATCATTTTCAAAAATGATGTCCTATATTGCTGAGTGTACATAATTTCATTAACCTGCAATTTAATAATATTTGAACCAACTTAAATGCATTATATCTTTATCCAAACTTAATTGAACCTTATTTACATACTTAAATTCAACTTCAACCCTTCATCAATCATATCAAATTATCTTCCAAAAGGATCTGACAAAGTTTGAGTGAGCATTAATGTGTTGAAGTTATATTGAATCTTATTAAATAACGGGTTAAAGATGTTACAAAAATTCATTGAATGGGTTGATCATTTTGGTCAATCATAATTCAAGATGATTCAACTGTTGTATTAACGTGTTGAAGTTCCTAACTCATAATGAGTTCAAGAGGATGACAAAAAGTAGAAGCGGCCTGTTCGAGAGATGCTTTGATAGGAATACAAAAATTAAGAACATAGACTTGAAAAAAATTTTCATGAAATGGCTTTATAACTATGATTTATGAAAGCTTGGGATGTTCTTCATTATAAATTGTGTCCTCGATTATGACAAACACAACATTATCTTCATTAAAATGAATTTCAAGATAAGGATGTATTTTTTAGATATACATGGGGTGGGATGTCATGAGATAGGAGGTTATGAGAGCTAAAGAGAGGCAAGTTGTACTACGAAGGATATGCAATAAAGAAGAATAAAGTACTAGTCCAATACATTTTAACTAAATAGACAATATATACAATGGGCTTATAAGGCTATTCCATATCTAGAAAATATATTTGTTGAGTTAATTTGAGAGAAAGTACCAATAAATCTAAGCTGGAAGAGCAACAAGATGCTCATAGGAAAGGATTTCTTATATGACTTAATAATCAAGATGTATGTGCTAATTTTTAACAATTACTTATATTTAAGGAACTAGATATATAATTTGCTCACTATAACTTTTTTATCTTAATTTTTATATATATTTAACCTTCTTAAACAACTGTATATTATAAATCTAATATATATACTCCATCTCCGCATATCTCAGTTAGAATTATAAAGAAGAAATAAGCACTCCTACTTTTAAGGAGAGAGAAGGGGAAGCGTAAACGGATAACTAGTTGCAAGTAAGTTCATTCCATCATATGAAGGGATGAAAAAACTTTCAACCATTATTCTTGAATTGAGAAGTTGCCAAATCAAGATGGAGAACAATTAAATAAGATAAGAGTATAAATTGGATGCTCTAAATAATCTTGTGCAAAGTTTTTTTTTTTTTTTAATATTAATGACATTAAGAGAGGAGAGGTGGAGGAGAAGGAGGAAGATAGTGAGAAGGTGCTTGCCACTAACCCAACCTGCGAAGAGGTGTAGTGGAGAAATATATAGAGTAGGAGTTGGAGGAGAAGGTGGAGTTTGGCGATCAACCCATTGCCATTATATGTGTAGTTAAGGAGGAGAAGAGTCATTGGAAGAACCTACTGACATTAAATACATAGAATATTGAGAGGGAAGACTCAAGGAATCAACTCCTTGCCATTGAGTTGGAGGCTAGTCTAATTGTTATAATTTAAAAAAAGAGTGATGCATAGCATACAATGTTAACAAAATTTTTTGAAAGAATAAGTGCTTGACTAGAGTTATCACTAATCTATTAAGACAAAGGCATAAGACCATGGATCATTATTCTAGTAATCCTCTCCACCAAATTGATGAGTAATTTTTCTCTTTTAAGTCTTCGATGTAGAAATGGCCGACAACTCAAATGAGATGAAGAAGTAGGCAAAGGAAGTGCATAGTTGTTCTAGTTATGAATGCTCCCACTACATTGTTAAAAAGTAAGGTGACATGTCTTATTTTATTGAAAGCATGGCTATAACATTTGAATGATATTTTTAGTAAACTTTATTTTTTGTCTTCATTTTTATTTTACCGGCATATTGATTATTTATGTTGCTCAATAAGGGAGCAAACTTGGCGATACCCAATGATCTAGCATAATTGTGTTGAATAAATCATTTGATTAATATTATAGAATAACAATCTCCATATTTGAGAAATTTTGAAAAAATAACTTCTTTAAGTGGCTTGATGTGGCACTCATATACACTATTGCAAAGGAGAAGTTCCTAAAGTTATTGGTTGATGTAGAATTCATATATTTTGCAATAGACTAGAATAGCATTCATTGGATTACATGTGAGATCTTACTTACTACATAGTCCATGAAGTTGTATGATTATGACTCAAGCCTATTGCACCACACTAAAGATCTCATAGAGAATGATGAATCCAATATATAAATGTTTTTTAATGTTACTTCAATAATTAGGGTTATTTGCTAAAAGACATGATTTTTCCTTCTAAATCTCCTTAGACGTAAAGTAGAGCCACCATCAATGTGGCTCTAACGTTACAATAAGGAAATTCATTCTAAATTTTAAGAAAATTTAACTTAAAAAGTCATTGCACATAGAGTATGATGATTGCTCAATATCTTATTTGTAATTATGATCATGAACTGCATAGAATATAATATATCATACATTTGATTTCAAATAAAATTCTTTAGAAATCACACATTATCACATGCAAATATTCAGAGACTATTCATTTGTAGGTTTATCTCACCATTATGTTGATTTACAAGTTAATTTATGATTCTAATGTAAAAATTAAAATTTCAAGTATATTTATTCTTTCATTAAACTAATTTGTATAACTATGTTATAAATGATGTTGATATTATTGTAGATTTTCTACATCAATTTCTCATAAGCACTATGTGTTATGACTGTTGTGTTTCCTTTCTTAAAAAATATTATATGCATATATAACTTGTGATATGAACGCTATGCTGATTTTTTTATAATTTGCTCTATATGTTTACAAAACTCTGTGTTATAGTCGACGTATTTCATTTCTTACAATCAATTTATAAATTTGTGAAATACA